TAAATAAAGGGATTGACCATGGGGGTAAGAACAGAATATAGGAAAGATAAGCTCTTATTCATATCTTTGAATCTGTCAATCGTTGGCATAATGTAGACAAGCATTAAGGAGCCATAGAAAATGGAGACTACAGTGAGATGGGAAGTACAGATGGAAAACGCCTTTTGTCTTCCATTCTCAGACTGAATTTTCATAATTGTTTGGATGATAAAAGCATAAGATGTAACAGTTATAAAAAATGTAGGTATAATTCCTAGAGTTGATGTTATCAAAGCAACACTTTCAATCACCCAAGTGTCACTGCAAGAAAGCCGTATTAAAGGGGTGAAATCACAAAAGAAATGGTCAATTTTGTATTGATTACAGAATGTGAGTTGGGTCAACAAGGGTGTCAAAACACTGATAAGCATAAATCCTGTTATCCATGATATTGAAACCAGCAAAACACATGTTTTGAAATTCATAAGTGTGACATAATGCAAGGGTCTACAAATGGCTAGATAACGGTCATATGACATTGCCGCCAAAAGGTAACATTCTGTAGCCGCTAGAGTACAGAAAATATGCATTTGTAAAATACAACCCCAAAGAGAAATTGTCTTGTTTCTTGTAAGAAAACTGGCCATCATTTTGGGTAATATAGTTGTGCTGTAGCAGATTTCCAAGAAAGAGAGATTTGAAATAAAGAAATACATGGGAGTGTGCAGACGTTTCTCTGCCACAACCAGTGTGATGATGAGAATGTTTCCAGATACAGTTAAAATATAAATAATCAGAAATAGCACAAAGAGGAGTGTGTTTAGGTTCTTGGTGTTCCCAAATCCAAGAAGGATGAACTCTCCGATGACTGTTGCATTCTGCTTCTCTGAAGGCTTCAAATGCTTCATCTAATAATTCACACATCAGATGTTGAGGAACTGTGAATTAAGGACCCATGTTTCTTGCTCTATTGTATGAAATAAAAAACTTTTGTTAAATATGCATACATTGCTAGATATATACAGTGGATATTAAGGATGGTGCATAATAGATAAAGAGACAGACAAGTAAACTATTATTAAATGATATTTAATCAAGGCCTATTAAAATCTTATAAAATGCATAGTCATGACTAAGCCTGATATCCTTGTTTGATTTTTTTCTAAATCTAATTAATGAATGAACTAATTTTGCAAATTGTAAAGTGCATCTAATACACTCTAATTTTTAAAATTATAGTCTAATACACATCAAACCTTCGCTAAAGATATTATATTACAATTTTGAGAAAGTTTTAATTTAGCAATTAGGCACCAAATTTAGATTAACATGCTAGTAATAATCTTTTTTTAAAAAAAATATTTATTTATTTGTCAAATTTCTATGCCATCCATCTCACCTAAGTAACTCTATACCATAAAATAATATAAGAACAATACTAAAAACAGATTGTTAAAAAAAACTTTTCTATCTTCTAAACTGTAAACAACGTACTTAACGATTAATGTTCTAAAGTCCAGTTGCAGCAGTCAAGGTGACACAAAAAGGAAGTCTTCCAAGGTTGTGAAATTTAAAAAGAAACAATCAATGTTCAATTGGCTGTAGATAAATATTATTTATATCACTTTGTATTCTCAATGGTATAAAATAAAGATCAAAACAAGCAGAATAGCCCCAAGGAGGTGATAATTGGCCTAGCAGAAATGAAGGTTTGAATGGGGTGAGTTAGAGAAGGATTTTCCTTTTAGTTCTCTCCCTCACTCTCTTTTTCGTTTTTTCAGTTACTGCTAGTTAGAGAGGATGTTTCTTTATTAATGGAATTAGCAGCACTATAGGAGCTTATTCAAAAAAAATGTTAGAGAATTCTTCTTTTTGGAAATTCTGAGAGACAACATTTTTTTAAAAAAATATTTTCTTCATTTGAATTTTACTATTCATACTTTTTGTATTTTTAAATACAACACAAGACAATAAAATGTAAAGATTACACAGTGGTGATAATCTAAAAGCTACAGACCAGGAGAGAAAATCACTATTAATATTCATGCCTCAGTATGAAACACTATTAATGCCTCACATTGAGGCATTATTATTTTTTGCTTCTCTGTCATAACCAATGTGATGATGATCAAAATTATAAATTTATATTGCAAGGAAATTCACTGTACTTTTTTTTTCATTTATGCATTTTTGAGTGTGTAAGATGCAGAAAAAAAGTGGGTGGAAATGTCTGTGTGTCTTATACAGTAAATTTTGCTAAAGCCTCGCCTCCCACTGGTCTCACCCTTTGACCTCTACCTTCCAGCAATTTGCCTCCTTGCAGCAAACAGCAAACATATATCATGGGACATTTCTGAATAATTCTGAATAACTTCTGTATGAACAAATTTCAAATAGTAGCTACAGTATAATATCCCCTCTAATCAAATATTTTTTTCTTCTTAAGCAGCTTCAAAATTTCATCAGTGTCCAAAATGAACTGAATGATATAATCTATGTCTGGTATACCAACTCACAACAGAGAAAAAAGCTGACAGCTCTTGACCATGATTTTATATATATATCCCATTATTATAGCTTGTCAGAGTTCTTTTGTTGGTATCTAAAGTGCTTGCTACCTTCCAACTCTTTGTCATTTGTACTTGCATTGTCATATTTTTGTATCTAATTGCAGGGTTTTTCCCAGTACAAATCAAAATTAACACCTGTGATTACAGGTTCATGTGCTCCAGGTTAACCTCCACAAACTTCTTGGCTGCTATTGAATATCACTTGCCTAATTCAACAATAATAAAAATAAAATAATAAAAATAAAATAATACATTAAAAACAAAAAAACCCTAACCATGTCTTTATTGAACTTTGATTGCCATTTTCCTCCTTCTGTCAGTTGTTCCATCAGCATGTCCATTATATAGAAAGGAAAGCAGTTGTCAGTTAAAAATTAAGAGAGGCCATCAGGAGGTAAATTGTTCAAAGTAGGTTTTTGATAGTCTGCACCTTGGACTGAAAACTGGCAAATCACTGCTGTAACATTTCAATCCAGCAGAATTTTCTTAAACCAGTTTAGAATCCAATTCTAAAACTTTAAGAGCAAAAAACAAAACAAAACAAAATAAATACATTGATAATCAGGTAGGATACCCAATAATGTAGGAAGGATGCTAGTATTACTTTGATATCATGTACAATAGATGCAGTTTTCGATGATATATAATCAATGAAGGTAGAACCTGTTAATCATGAATACTTTATAATGTAATGGTTTGAAATTAACAAACCACAAAACTTTACTGTTAAAAAGTGACATCCCATGAACCAAAGGAACCAAAAGAGGCACAACTGGATTCAATAGATATTTAGTGAATATTTATTTATCTGGCAGTAATTACATTAATATATTCATGACTAAGGGAAAATTGTTTCTAGAAATTATTTGAAATAAAATGATTGAATATCTACAAAGGAAATATATTCAAACTGTATCTCTTGATGTTAATTAGAGTAAAAAAAAATCCCTTATTTGAAGAATTCTTTTCTAATGATTTTTTTTATGTCTTTATTTCGTAGAGTGTAAATGAAAGGATTGACAATGGGGGTAAGAATTGTATATACAAAAGAAAATCCCTTTTTCATATCTTCAAATTTTCCAGTGGTTGGCAAAATGTAAACAAACATTAAGGATCCATAAAAAATAGAAACTACAGTAAGATGAGAAGAACAAGTGGAAAATGCCCTTTTTCTCCCATCCAGAGATGGGATTTTTAGAATTGCTCTAATAATTAGGACATAGGATGAAATCGTTATGAAAAATGTAGATAAAAGTCCTACAGATGATGTTATCAAAGCAACATTTTCAATCATCCGAGTGTCACTGCAAGAAAGTCTTACCAGGGGTGTGAAATCACAAAAGAAATGGTCAATTTTGTACTGACTACAGAAGGTGAGTTGTGTCAACAAGGATGTTAAAATTGTGATGAGTAATGAACCATTTATCCAAGATATTGTAACTAGCAAGATACATGTTTTGCTGTTCATAATAAGGACATAATGCAAGGGTCTGCATATAGCTAGATAACGATCATATGACATTGCTGCTAAGAGGTAACACTCTGTAGCTCCCAGAGTACAAAAGAAATGCATTTGTAAAATGCAACCCCAAAGAGAAATTGTTTTCTTTCCGGAAAGAAAAGTGGCCATCATTTTAGGTATTATAACTGAGGTGTAGCAGATCTCCAAGTAGGAGAGATTAGAAAGGAAGAAGTACATAGGGGTTTGGAGATGCTTTTCCATCACAACCAATGTAATTATGAGAAGGTTTCCAGATAATGTTACAGTATAAATTATTAGAAATAATATGAAGAGGAGAGGATTAAACTTTTTAGTGTTCCCAAATCCAAGAAGGATAAACTCTTTTATCGTTGATGTGTTCTGCCATTCTGAAGACTTTTCAAGCAGCATCTAATAATACGGCATCAAGCAGTCATTATCTGGAAGTATATGGAACAAATAAGTGTATTGAAATATCTGTCAGGTTTATATAAAGTCAGAACTTGTTTAATTCTATGAAACAATTTGCACACATTTTCTTCCTTTCATGATTTATAGCAAAATTTACATGGATTCCAACAAAAAAAGGTAAGATATTCATATGAGGACAATTGAAATTATAGTGAGGACTACATTGATTTCTTTGTGGGGAAGTATTTTCCCCAAATGGAATTAGTAGACTAGATTATTTACAAATTACATATATGTTGGGTTTAAATGGGAAAAAAGTATTATTGCAATATATGCTAGTAACATTAACAATAAATAATATACAAATATATGCTAGTGACATAATGATAATTAACAGACATGAAAACCATTAATTTCATTGCAAATATTGCTGTTTACAAATTGAATATTTAAATAATAATTTAAATTCAAGTATTATTTCTGCTTATAGAAAATACTAATAATGAAATGAAAAACACATAAGCAGAATACCTAGATTCTGGTTCTCAAATGATGTTCCAATGTCCCAGCTTATGTTTAAATTTGTATTCAAGGATGTGACATTTTAAAAGAAAGAAGCAGTGTTTTATTAAATTTTGTTCAGCTATCTTTTTGTTCACCTGTTGCATCCCTCTTTTGTTCTCAATGGTATGAAATTATATTAAGTGCAAAGCAACCAGAATAGTCCCAAGAGGGGGGGAAATGCTTTTAGAAGATAATTGGCCTCATGGAAATAAAGTTTTGCAGAGAGACAGTCAGAGAGAGAGAGAGAGAGAAAGAGAGTTGGGGGTGGGGTAACACATAAGATTAAAAAAAAAAATCTAATGGTATAATTTTCCAGGAAACTTGACCAACTTCTGATAATATGAAGAATTATCTGCTAAGTTTTAGAACCTAATCTTCCTCAGCACATAAACAAAAAGCAGGCCACAGAAGGGCTTAATATAACTGTAAGGAAATATTTAGGTTGGCAGTGCAGAAGTTGACTCATATGTCATTCCCATTTTCTAGTGATTAAATTAAACCATAGTTTTCTCCTTAGTTCTAGGTTGCATGTTTCCTTAATTAGTTTACATCCATTGCTTTTTGTCATTCCTTTATTTGCTTTATTGACCCCTATATCTTGAAGAAACCACTCAGAAATTGGAACACATATATCATCCCTAATTTATTTATTTACTATTTATTTAGAAAATTTATATTGCTATCTACTCATACATGGTGACTCAAGACAGCTCACAAGAACATACAAGCACTATATAAAATAAATAATAAATAAAAAATAAAATAATAACCCTTTCCGTCCCTCCCCAATGATAACACACATTCAGCCATTTAATGGGCTCCATCTCACTCTCAGTTCCTCAGCCCCCAGTTCTCCAAACTAAACCACATTTTCAAAGCCTTC